GATCGTGGAAATTCATTCGAGGATTAACGAAAAGAGCAAGGAAAAGCTTTCGAAGAGGCGTGACGCACAGAAAGAAAATGAATGAAAGTTCGATTCTTTTTTCCTTTTACTTTCTCGCGTCGAAAGTGTGCTGTCCCTTCTTGCGGAGCACAATTTCAGTGTGCTTCGCTTTTAGTGGACTTTTAAAGTTCACTAGAAATTTTTATCTTGCTATCGAATGTTGCCAGCAGCGTCACTATTTCATAGCACGCTTCAAATGTTTTATGAACGCGCAATTACGTATAATTAAATATATTAGCCAAATTTTTTATTTATCCTTTTCACTGTCCAGTCAACAGGTTACACCAAGATTATTATTATTTTTCTTGGACGAAGAGAAAAGCTTGTTTATGCTCTCGAACGAATTACATTGTTGCGAGGATGTGTTCACTTCCTCGTGAAATTATTTATCATTATTTTGTTTATCTCTTTGTATCTTTCTTTGTATTTCATCGAGATCTTCCTCGATGAAAAAGAAGAAAAATTTTTTTGGTTGGTTGAAATTTTCTTATTAAGACGTGTAAATCGAGCCAATTAGAGTAAGAGTAGGTAAGTTTTCGTAGGGAGGAAAGATCGATCGAGGAAAGATTCTACGAATTCTTTGTACGCGATTCTTAAAGAATCGGTTTCCTGAAAGTTCGAAGCGGCGGTTGAAACTTCCATTTCCCGTTCCGAGAAACTTATGGACCGAATGTACGGGTGTATCTAATATAAGGAGACCGATAATGGACTCTTGGATTTTTCTAATCCATCTATGTTGCCGTTTCCCGCCTCTTCTTCTTCTTCCGTGTATCGAAATGATTTTCGACGGTTGCGAAAGTCTTCCACGACAAATCCTGGAAATTTCTCTCTCGCTCGATTTCCCCCCCATTTTCTTCTTTTTTAAAAAATTAAAAAGCAACTTTTCCAACCTCGTCTCAAACTTACGACGCCGTTCCAAAAAATTTCGACACGATAATAATTTTCCAACAATCCAGTTGCAGCAGGGTATTGCGATTGCAATACACGAACGAAGAATCAAATAGAGACGAAGAAGAAGGAGAGGAAAGGAATATGTATAAAATCCTTCGAGCAGAGCACGAAACGCGAGGAACAGGGAAGATCGACGGGGGATTCCTCGTTTATCCGTGCACTTTTCGCCTGGTGGTGGAATTGGTCCCGTTGAAGGCGGCGAAACTACACTGCTCCCTCGTCTCTATTACACAGGCTCGTTGGTTGGTGCTGCTTCCTCGTTTTTCCTGGGCGAAAAATACGGGCGTTCCGGTTCCGCCACGCGACGGAAATGTCTGCATTACCGCGCGCTTTCTCCGCAATTTCCTCGCGGGCCGCTCGGGGCCATGGCCGGGAAAGGAGCGTGGAGATTTATCGCGCCTCGATATCAAAATACAACTATTCCCTTTTTTCGAGTATTTATCTCGGCGAGAGAAATCGATTTTTTTCATTCTTCCAGTTGGAGGGGTTTCGATCGATATTACCCCAAAATGGGGTAGTATCTCCTTTTTCGAATCGATTCGAGAATTCGCAGCAATTTTGTGAGGAATACATGAGATGGTCCAAAGATTGTAAAAATCAAAGCAAAGTATAAAAATTGATATACGTCGAAGCCATTTTAATACCAAAATGGTTACCTTTTTTTGAATCTTTAAAAAATTCGAGAATTCGCAGTTATTTCGTGAGGAATATATGAGATATATGGTCCAAAGATTGTAAAAATCAAAGCAAAGTATAAAAATTGATATACGTCGAAGCCATTTTAATACCAAAATGGTTACCTTTTTTTGAATCTTTACCTCGATTCGAGAATTCGCAGCAATTTTGTGAGGAATACATGAGATGGTCCAAAGATTGTAGAAATTATAGCAAAGTATAAAAATTGATATACGTCGAAGCCATTTTAATACCAAAATGGGTACCTTTTTTTGAATCTTTAAAAGATTCGAGAATTCGCAGTTATTTGGTGAGGAATATATGAGATAGTCCAAAGATTGTAGAAATCAAAGCAAAGTATAAAAATTGATATACGTCGAAGTCATTTTAATACCAAAATGGCTACCTTTTTTTGAATCTTTAAAAGATTCGAGAATTCGCAATTATTTTGGAAGAAAGGATTCAAGTTGAAAGAATTTGATTGAAATGGATATTGTGCTTTAATGAGATTATACATCGTCGAGTCCGCTTCGGCACCAAAATGGCCACGTTTTTACCTTGATTCGGGAATTCATAGTTATTTTGAGAATGCAAAATTGATTTTTTGATTCATTGGAGAGATCTGATTGAAATAAATATATTACTATAATATAATATACGAGGAAGTCGATTTTAGAAGTCAAAGCAAAATATATGTAAATTGGTATATAAAAACATCAGTTGTTCATTAAGTGACGAATAATTGAGGTTAGATGAAAAGCTATATCAATTTTCTGTTTGCTTTAATCCTTAAAATCGATGCTTTAAAAGTAGAAACATATTAATATTCCGAATACTTATATCTCTTCGTATCTTTCTTCGATTCGAATCAATCAATATCTATTTTCACTTGGAATAGGATAGAAAAAAAGAATATTCGCCCAAATTGCAATTAACATTTTCCAAACTTTCCTTCAAAAACTTTCTTAATCGATTCAGCATCGCAATAACAATAACGAAAAAAAAAAAGAAATAACAAAGAAGAAAGAGCAATCTTCGATTCATCGCGAGAAAAACCATTACATATCCTGCCTGGATCAACCAACGCGAATTTGACGCGATATCTCGTTTCAAAGACGTGGATTATTCGTAAAAGAGGCTAAGGCGAAGGAGGAGAGCAGTCCCTATTAGAAGGATGATAATAGTATTATCGATTTTGAAACGAAACGCGGGCTCAAATCGTGACAAATGTGGCGCGCTACCGTATGCGCGCCCGTGTGCCGACCGCGCCCTGAAAAACTTTTTCCACCCCTTCTCGCGCGTTGCAGAGAAGATCCAGGATTGCTTTCGTCTCTCCTCCTCGTTCAAGCATTCATGCATCGTTGTTATAGTTATATTAGGGGCACGATTTTATCATTTTGCTTGCTCGATGAATTTATCTTATTTTAACACTCGTATAGTCGCCATCCTATCTTATATTTTATCATTGTAAGGATATTTACTAATGGAAATGCATTGGCAATGTATATTTAAATTGGTAAATATATGTATAATATAATTACATTCTAGGGATTTTAGTTACTTCGATTGGTAACCTTCTTAAATACAAATACGAGTGCAAAGGGTTAAATCTACGATTCATTCGCGTGCTTTGGAATCCTTTGACAAGGGAAGTCCATGAGACACATGTAAACTTGTTACGACGTTAAGATCGTTCGATGGAAATATTTTATTTGTCAAATTTTCGAACGATTCATTCTTTCGACCACCAACGAGAGGAAAAATCGATTATATGTGATATTGTTTCCACGTTACGTAACTGTTTCGTAGAAAATCTTTCGAATGAATTCGTTTGTTCGATGACAATTTTATTTCGTTAAAAGAAAAAGAAAGAGGGAAAAGACTTTGCACAACAGGAGTTAATCGTTATTTTAGAATTATCTTATCCTAAAATAATCCATTTAGTAATCCGTAATTCTGATTTCGTATCCATAAAGTCACACGTAGCAAATCATCCATTCCGTTGTTGCCCGATCACGCATGGTTCTCGAATAACCCAATCAATCGTCTATTTACCACCGGAATCTCGTGCCTCGAGATAAACGTGCGTCCAAACGTTCTCGATCGAAATTTTTCCACGCACCGATCACGAACCAAGTTCGAATCGGAAACGCGCGTACGTTCCTTTCCATTGTAAACAGAGATTTGTAGCGAGTTTGTCGGCGACAAATCGGAAACCAGGGAGCAGATTGCATCGATCATAGCGTAGATGTTTGGGGAGAAAAATCGTGTGAACGTGTATTGACGGGCACGGTGAGAAATTGCCGGGTTAATTGCGAAAGAAACGAGGCGAGCATCCGCCGTTAAATATCCCGCGGTACCGGTTAGTCAGAGTAGAGAGATCGGGGAAAAACTGACGAGTTTAGACCGCCTGTCGTTTCTGCCACGCCAAGAAGGAACGCGTACTCTCCTCCTCCCTCTTTTTCTTTTTCATTTTTGGAACGTTTCTTCGTTCGACAAGCTCGTTTACGTTTTGACATCGAGGCACTCGTATTTATATTTAAGAAAGTTACCGATCGAGACACTGGTATTTATATTTAAGAAGGTTACCGATCGAGGCAACAAAAGTCCCTAGAATGTGATTATATTATTTTACATTAGTAAATATAAATGTGTAATAATAAAACGTAAGATGGGGATTATATGGCGAGCGATTTATGTATAGATTTCGTCATTTCTAAATAACAAGAGGCGGGGTATTGATTTAAAAAGGTTATGGTATATCGCCATGTATTCGTCATCCTATATTTTAATATTGTACATATATTTACTAACGTAAAATATTCTAGGGACTCTTGTTACCTCGATTGGTAACGTTAAATAAAAGTTAAACAAGTTAATCCTTTCCATTTGGATCGAAGCAACAACGATATTTATTCACGTTTGATATAAATCGGTAAAAGAACTTCTAGTCTTGAGAAAGATCATTCATACGTTAATTTGCTTCTTCACTCTTTGCACTCTTTACATATACGTGTACAATATTTACAATAATTACATTCTAGGGACTCCCGTTACCTCGATCGGTAACCTTCCTAACTCCTTAACTCCCGATTTCTCGGGCCTTAACAATAAAAACGACGCGGCCAGCCTCGCGTCGTTTACATTCGATCCAAACGAATTACCCACGAGTCAGCTTATTGCAGCAAATTCTCAAAAACTCGATACCGACGAGTCTCGTCGCTGTAAAAACCGATCGACCGAGCAGGCAAAAAAAATCCCTATCCCCGCGCTTACCGATAAAGCTAACGATCCTTCTCTCTTTCTCGTTTCAGCAGCAAAAATTCGTGAAGAGGACGGCCGAGGAGTTGGAGCCAGCCGGCGGTGGTAGCGGAGACGGTGGCTTCGGCGAGCCCCCCGTTAAGCTGCAATGCACGCAGGCACAGCATCAGCACCAGCAGGGGCCGGGCGGCGGCGGTGGGGGCGGACCCCACCACGGCCACGGCCAGCACCCGGCCGGGAACGGCGCGGGCGCGACGGGGCCTGCGGGCGGGGGCGGCGGGAACGGCGCCGGTAACGAGGGATTGACCAAGTTCTCCGTCGAGATCGTGCAACAACTCGAGTTCACCACCTCGGCGGCCAACTCCCAGGCCCAACAGATATCCACCAACGTGACCGTGAAGGCGCTCACCAACGCCTCGGTGAAGAGCGACCTGTTGAACGCCTCCTCGTCCCCGAAATCGGGGCCAGACACCCCCGCCTCGGCCGCCTCCAGGCCCCAGCCGGGCAACCCCGGGCCGGGGCAGGCGCGGCGGGGCCCGCCCCGCCCACGGGGATCGGCTGCGTGGACATTGGGAATCTGGTGGAGTGCAAGCAGGAGCCGGACAACGAGTTCGTGGATCTGGAACAGTGCGCCGCCGCCTTGGAGAAGGACGCGGCGGCGAACGGGGCCGGTTTCCCGGGCTTCTCCGACTTCATGGGTGACGACACGGGCGACGAGATCATCACCTCGGACGCGTTCAAGGATCTGATCTCGGAGATATCCGACTTGCATCCCGAGTTCATGAAGGATTTCGACTTCGAGGAGAAGATCCCGGTGGAGGCGTTGGCGGCGAGCAACGCGGCCGTGGCGGCCGCGGCCGCCGCCGCGGCCGCCGTGGCCAACAGCAACGGCGGCAACGGCAACAACGGGGGCGGAACGGGCAGCAACAACGGGATGGGGACGAACAACGGGCAGATCAAGATCGAGGACGACAAGGACGGGATACACCAGCAGCAGCAGCACGGCGTGAACAACGGGGGGAGCGGCGTGAACAACGGGGCCCAGGCCCCGAACAACGGCAACGTGGCCGCCAATTCCAGCCCTGGCGCCCTCGCCTCCGCCCAATACTCCCCCGCCAGGCTCCCCTACTCGGGCCTCGACTTCAAGTCCGAGATGAGCCCAGCCGCCCAAACGTTGAAGCAGATGGCCGAGCAACACCAGCACAAGAGCCAGCAATTGGGCCTGGGCGGTTTCAATCCTGGGGCGGCGGCGGCCGCCGCCGCCGCCGCCGCCAGGGGGCCGACCGCCCGCTCCCCATACGCCGAATTCCCCCAATTCGGCGGGACGAACGACTATCTGGGCAGCCCTGGGAGCGGCGCCGGTCCAGCGGGGCCCGGAGGGCAGGGGCAGGGGGCGGCTGGGAGCGGGTCGTATCACAAGAACAACGGGGCGAGCGGGTTCCAGGGGCAGCAGGCGGGCGACATGTTCGTCGGCTCCCAGACCCAGTTCGCGGCCGGGCTGGCGGACATGAAGAGAGCGCAGCCGAGCGGCGGTGGGAAGCCGAGCATGCTCGGGCCGAGCGCCGGTTACAAGCAGCAGTATTCGCCGTACGGCAGCCCGGGATCGATGCCCAACCACGGCAGCCCTGGTTACCCGCTTCCGCCTAGGGGATCCCAGGGCGGCGGACCCAATCAGACCGGATCCCAGGGATCCTTCACTAGCTCCACGCCACCGAGGCCTCCCTCGGGACCGGGCACCTCCACTTTGCAAATTAACCAGGCCCAGCAGTTACACATCAACAATCCTGGCCATCAGATTCAGGTTAGTGGACCCTTTTTATTTTTTCCTGTTTTACAGACGCTCTTCGTTTGTAATTTTTTAAACGAATATTCTGATCGATGTTTCGTGACGACATCGCGATTTGCATTTATCAATTACATCAATTGGCCCGACAAATGCTTTCGATAAATTGTTATCGTCCCATTCGATTATATCGAACGAAAATTCGTAACCAATCGCGATTAATATCGTTTACAATATTATTGTATAACGATGATCGGGGTACGATCATCCCCGAAATCGGATACTGCCAATGTATTTATCGTTTTACGGCATCGTCGCGAATAACTTTTTTTTTTTTATAGAAAAATTTCAAATATTCTTCAAATAATTTTCATCGAATTCGAAAAATTACGTCTAAATTAAAAACACCGCCAACAACAACAATAACAATAAAAGATGAAGAACGAAAGGACACAGGCGAATCAACAAATCGTATCGCGCGCGCGTCAACCTCGGCCGAATGATATCTGTTGCGTCGCGACGACACGTCTATTTTTGTCGGCGGCATCACGAGTCGGTGGTGGCGACGTCGGTGGTGGTGGTGGTGGTGGTGGTGGTCGCGACGTCGTCGTCGCTGGCGTCGCCAGCGAAGGGGCGCACGACGTTGTGCACCGTCGTCGGTAGTAATAGTAGTAGTAGAACGGTGGTAGTAGTAGTAGTAGTAGTAGTAGTAGTAGTAATAGTAGTAGTAGTCGACGAGGAAAACGAAGGGGTATGCCGGCGTCACGAGGGCGCCTCGAAGCGCAACAAGTAGTCTACCCCCACCGATTCCCTCTTTATAAATTTTCCCCCTCGCCATTTACCCCCACCCTGGCGGGGTGAGGGCGAGAGGGTTGCGTGGCCGTGCGCAGCCGACGTCGCGACTCCACCACCGTCTGCTCGATTTAAGCCGCGCCTGCAATCCGCGTCAATACGCAGCGAGACGTAGTAGTCGCGAGAGTGCACGCGACGGGCGACGGCTCGTATGATTCTCGGAATTGGATTTCGTCCTTTTCTTTTTTTTAAAGAGAATTGGTACAGAGAATCGGAGATATAATTCGAGATAATGCTCTTGCTTTCGAAATGCAGTCTCTCGATTCGAGATTGAAATTAAAAATTGACGTTTTCGTTTCACGATGGTTATCGATCGATGGTAATTTATTCGAGTCGAGCGATCGGGTAAATTGTTTAAGGGGATCGATAGAGGGGTTTCTTCGGGTTAAAATCGATAATAGGCTGATGGTAGTTGAGGGAATATTTGTGGGGATGTAAAATTCTGCGTTTTGCCCTATATTTTGTTACCGCGAAAGAAGGAAAGGAATTGTGATATTGTCTGTATAAATCTTGTAACCAACGAGCCCATACTGTTCGCGTTTGCCTGGCTCCAGTCTAACCTCTGCAGGTGGTCTCGGATCCTTTTTACGCGCTAATAGATTTATTTTATTGATCCACTGCGGAGTCTCGAAGCGAAATGCTTGCTTTACGAGCGTGGAATTTTTTAAAAAATTGTGAACAGCTGTCGTTCGTTCGTAACGAAAGAAGATAAATGGACAAATACGATTCTCGTGAGTTTATTTTTTTTTTTTTTAAAGAATTTACATCGTAATTGTTTCATTCTCGTTTCAAATTCGTTTCGAAATAATCGATGTTTTATTCGATATCAACGTTCAAAAATTAATGGTATTTACTTTATCGCGTTATCGCAACATATTTTTATTTTTGCTCGTTTAATTCAACTCGTCATTTCCAAGATGTGAAAAGAATATAGTCAATTAAGGAATCTTAAACAAATCTTTTCGAAATGTTCCACCGTCCATTGTAGACGTTTCGAAGAGATCTTATCTCGTTTGTTTCCTCAAACGTTTTCTCCTCGTCCCGATCGCGTATGGACACGTCTGTCCTTCGTAAATCACGCGAGCTACCGTGTGCATTTGCATCTCAATGCGAACGATGCCTTCTCCTTTTCGACCCTTTTTCATTCCTATCTTCCGTGTTTTTCTCCACCACCATCTCGATTTCACCTCTCTTCCCTCAGTTTCTTCCATCTCCACCTCGTTCTTTTATTTCGATTTATTATTTTCGTATATATTCCTGATTACGTCGCGGTTTTCGTCCTCGTTCTTTCATCGATTCGTAGATTTTCACCGTTTAAGGTGTTCGTCGTGAATGGGTGTTTCGAGAGAAAAAAAAAAAATTTTTTTTGGAAAAGATTATTAAGTTTTTTAATTAAATTTTTGCACACTGTATTATCGATCGAGGCCTGGTAAAATATAATCTTACCTCTTTCTCTCGCTAAATATAGCGCTTTGAGAAAGTTTTATATAAATTTTATACTCCTCTTTTATACGTACTACAGCACATTGAAAAATATCTATTTAAATCCATTGTTATTAATAAATCTAAGATATAACGGAAAAATATATTCTGATCAATTTTTAAATATTCAAAATCGAAAAAAAAAAAAAAAAAAAAAGAGAGAGAAAAGAGGAGAAAGGAAGTGAAAATCCTTTCTTGAATTTTGCACTCTGTATTATCGATCGAAATCTGGTAAAATTTAATCTAACCTCTTTTTCTCGCTAATTATAACGTTTTGAGAAAGTTTTAAATAAATCTTACATTTCTCCTTTATACATCCTTATGCATAAGGAAATCCTTGGAAAAATAAGTTAATTCTAACAATATCTATTAAAATCCGTTATTATTTTAAATTACAACGAAAAAATATATTCATCGATCCGTCCGCAATTACTGCGCACAGATATATTGCTATAAATTTTCAAACGATTCAAAACAAATGGAGAGAAGAAGAAAGAGAGAAAAAGGAAATGAAAATTCCTTCCTTGAATTTTCATTTCAGAATCTCACGATTTTCGAGCCTATCGAAAAGACACACGAGAAAGGCAATTTGTATGCGCTCGGTCAAAGCGCCCGCACGCGTCCGCTCGACGGGACACGTTGAAAATTTCAAAACAACGATATCGCCGGTCAAAGAATGTTATCTCTCGTCGAATTTACATATACATTTCCCCGTGACACCCAAGAAACTAACCGTTTCTCCCTTTACCTTTTTCGGGTCGCGCAATCGGGCTGCCATTTATCATGGCGGCGGAAAAGGTGCCGAAACGACGCTCTTCCCCAACAACGTTCTTTCCTATTATCGTTCGTGTCCTTCGTTTCCTCGAAACGGCCTATGCGAGCAACGATATATATATATATATATCCTTATCGAGCGTTGAAAACGTTCAACGAGTGATGATAAAACGCGGCGGGGATATGTAAAATAAAAAAAAAAAAAAAACGTAATGAAACGTTATCGAAGTTGTAAGTCGCGCGGAATTTAAATGATTTAATTTGGGTCACAGTTGGAGGTTCCACCGATTTGTGATTTCACGGTGGAAACGAGTTTTTTCCCTTTCTTCCTTTTTTCGGGGGAGGGGGGGAAAGTGAAGAGGAGAACGTTTCGAAAGAAATTATGTATCCCGAATTTGAATTTCTGTTAAATATTAATACGAGAAATAATTAACCCGGGGGAATAATTATAGATACGTATGTCTCTTGTTTGTGGCCCATAATCTCCTATAATCTTCTTTCGAATCCGACGTTTCTTCCTGTTTGAATAACATTTACGTAATTACGTACGATATTATTCTATACGTACGATTTATTCCGGAATTTTTTTCTCGAATTTAAATTTTTATGGGGAGGGAAATATTATAAATAAACCATCATATAAATAATTAATATTTTCAAATCGTAGATAATATTATATTACTCTCTAAAAATTGATCAAACGAAACGTTTATTGAACGTGTATTCGTATAAAGAAATTCCTTTTGCAGATATCATCCTCCACACACACACACACACACACACACATACGCGCACATACGTTGTCCAATTAGACAATGAACAACGTACGTTGATTATAACCTCGCGTCTCCTCGAATCAAAATCGTGCGTGCGATCGGTATTTTATTCTCGAACAATCGAAACGAGGAGAGTGTTACGAAATAAGGAGAGTTCTCGTTTTCCCTGCTCACGGATCCCTTCCCCCTCCACCGTCACCACTCTCTTGGAACGTTTCCAACCACCGCCCGTAGTCGTCGCGTCGGGATATCCAAGTACGAGTGTTTTCCACGTCGGCCGCGTTAATAAGCGGACGCTCGTGCATTACCGGAAATTGAGCGTGCGCGCATGCGCCTCCCGTTTCAAAGGTTCAAAAAGGTTACGTAAACGTTCGATCGCATGTACGCGTTTCGAACGCACGCGACACGCATGCGGTGTCATTGATACTATATTTAGAAACGCGTTATTTTCCTTCGATTTTTTTCTCTTTTTATTCCTTTTTTTATTTTTATCACGCTCCGTTTTGTTGTGTCTTCTCTTCTTCTTTGCAAGAGTAAAGAAGCAGTCTTTCTTTCTCTCTCTCTTTTTTTTTTTACGAGGAATTTAAAACGATGGATAATTTTTTTTTTTCTTTTTGAAGTGGAAGCGTTTACGTTTGTCACTTGTTTGACATTCTTACAAAGTTTTTGCAAGCGTTAGAAACGAACGCAATACGTTTTTATAAGTTGGGTCGATAGCAGATACGAGGAATTAACGCATAAATTTTTATCAAGTGTGTCAAGTTATTGTTTCCTGCGGTAGAATTTATAATATGGTAGTAGGGAGTAGTAGTAATGCTCGTTCGACGTGTAAAAAAAGAAAATCGATCTTATGTATAATTATTGATAAAAATGTTGAAATTAATTCGTTGAAACGAAACGTGTAAATAATATTTAGCAAAAATAATGAAATGATTCGTGAAAGATCGATTTAATTTTCGAAAATGAATACCGATATTCGGCCATTCAGGGGCCGAACGTCGATATCGAATATTAATGTCGTGTTTCGAGATGATAAATGCTTTTCATCGTTGTTCGAGGGCTTTCACGCTGCATCTCCACGTCACGTGTTAAGGTATCAAACGTTACGATACGAATCGAATCTGTTAATGCAAG